GCTCAAAATGGTCTTCAGTGGAACGCAACAATGAAAGTTAACAAATTGGGCGTCGCATAAACTATTCATTTTCCGTATTCTATTTGAAACCGTTTTTAGATAAGTAATATAAAAGTTATGCCAAATTTTACTCTTTTTTACCGGCGAAAATAATCTGATAAAGCCGAATTTGGACTCCTGTAGTGACACGAAAGAGATTTGCAGTAACTTCCAGTCAAAATATTCGAAGGCCAATTATAACAATGGGCTGGTGGTTTTGTGTTTTATCGCGATGAAGCGGCACCCCATGTCACGGCTCTGCAGACTTTTGTCTCATCGAACCGCCACTAAAGATTATCACTACACACTGGCCACTATTGTCTCAGGCCTATTTATCAGTTTTGTGAAAAAATTGCATACAACTCTACACGAGTGTTGTCAATTGCCCTTGAGCCTTAGTTACAATCCCACGTGTCATCACCACAAATGTCTGTGTGATTTAAAGCAATTACGATTCCTCAATTCGTCGAAATTATACCGCAAAGTATAGGGTTTTCAAACGGTCAGTCATAATTATCCCGTAAACATTTGCTAGATGTCTAAGTGCCTAGCCAGCTTTGTGGATGTTGTCGTCGAGTGTTGAAAACAAACAAACTTAAAAGAACTGAATTTCAAAATGAGCTTTGTGAATAATTTTACAAAGTTCACATGCAGGTTATACAAGTGGTACAGATCCCAAGATTTACTTTCCTCAGGCCAGCATTCCGTGTTCTGTCAATGATTCGCCCTGGAGGTCTACATCCACCTCACAGTTAATGGCTAGGAAAGTTATCACTAACGAATGCAGAGTTCTGATCACGTTGAAAATGCAAAATTAGAAATACGGAAATTCTGTCACCATCACACCCGAAGGCGTTCTTTTAATGTTGAATAGCCAATGGTTTCTTTCCTATAATGCCCAGCTCCGATGGAACCCATGTGACCTCTGTTGGGGATCCAGGATTCCCCACGATTCCTCATCGTTGGTTTTGGCCCAATTTACATTAATTCACTGATATGTGTTTTATTAAGCTTTTTATCAGGTCAACCTTGACTTGAACTAGTTTCTCTTTTGACAACTGACATCGCACGTGGCTGATGTGGCTAAAGCTCTCTACACGATCTCTGGTCTTGTTCTTGTATTAGCGTGGGAAGGTCGGTTCTAGCGTCAACAAGAGATCTAGCGCCGTTGTCTGAGTGGTTTTCTCTTTGTTACGGGCAAACGTAACAACCCCATGCAACTGCCATGCACTACTTCCAGGCATTCATAATGCACCGCCTAACCTACCAAATCAACAAGCAGAGACTTAACGTGGATAATGTAGCACAGGTACTTACTGTTTTTCCACTGTGCTAGAACATAAGGAGATTGAAAAAAGAGCATATTAGAAACGTAACTCATGCAGACAGGCTGTCGTCGTAATGTAACAAAGTGGACTCCGTGTGGAAGGGTGTTTGGGGACACGGGAAGGCTTGATACAAGTCGGTGACAGTTTTCACAGTCTACAGAGCAAAAGAAGCAGGCTAAATTTTTCTCAGTAAAATTTTCTACTAACGTTTATAGTGCTATATAGAACAGCACATGCATAATTAACGCACAATGAAGGACTTGAGAGGAAAATTTCGGACTTAAGTTACAGAAAAAGGCATTTACTACTTTACGGCCTTTGCTGTTATGGAATGATGGCAGATTAATATCACCACTTCAGTAGCGGTTGGATACAGCGGTTTTGTCCCGGAAAACAAGTAAAAAGATAAATGAAAGACCGTTACATTCTCAATATCGTGGATGTTAGCTCACAATTTTTGATTGGTGTTTATCTGAACGATAAAACAAAAAAATTACACAAAATTTATCTAGGATTTAATAAATACCACTTAGGTTTTTTTTACAATACTAATTATTGATTTGTTGAAGTAAATTAAAAGACAACAGGCTAGGCACTTTCGATGACGAAGCAGCTACAGGATGTAAGTAATGCCTACAAATGCCGCTAGCATATGCTCTAAGCCATCGAATGATGCCTTCTAGCCAAAACCTCGTGACGGGTCGAAAAGTAGGCAAATAGACGAAAATAGGCCGGCTTTAGAAGTTGTTTACACAACGTGAACCAAACTCAAATTTGTTTTTAAGCCTGATTTAAGTTGTCTGAAATTATTGAGGCGTGAAAAGGGCGAAATTTTGGTTAATACAAAAAGCGGCATCCGATCAAATCCAGGCTTTATTGCGGGAATAGTTCTCGAATGATATTTACCGTGACAACATTAGTGTCCGTTGAAAAAAGTCCCAATTTTATTCTATTTAAAGAACGCTCAAAATCAGACTTAACTTCCAGGTTGAATTTGAACGCTAGGAGGGCGTTTTTTTAAAAATAATAAATCACAGCTTTTGTTAATGCCACAACAAATGATAGCAGTGGCGTTCACCTTCAAACCAAATTGCCATTTCGTCCCGATGCCGTTAGCTTCTCTGGCGATTAACCTCTCACCTTCCAGTGCATGCTTCACTTAAAAATTTTTTTATAATTGTGGTACTCTGCACGCGTTCTTCGCCGGCTAAAATTGACCGTAAAATCAGCTCGAGGCTTTATTGGCTGCGGCGCCTTTTTTGTAACTTACGTTTCATTGCAACGTTTTTGAATTCCAAGGGTGTCAATGAAACTACTTTTTATTTTTAAGTATTCGTCCATGCGTGCTCGAGTGACTGGGGTAACTCTGACCCAGGTAAATGCTAATACTGAAATCACGAAAAAAAAACAAACATGGTCGAAAGGGATGTGACGGTCATATTAGACGTAGACATTGCATAATACTGTCTACTTTTGATTTAAAAGGGAAATTGTTTCCCTTACAATCCACTGATTCGGATATTTTAAAATTAATAAAACGATGATGCGAGTTGAAATTCGTCCTCAGTGGAGAAAGTCGTTGATATTGGCATTTACCACAGTACAATAAATGTGTCGCCATGGTAACTTGAGACACAGTGATGATGTGTTTACCACCCGAAGCAGGAAAAGAACAATAACCAAAGCTAAGAATAACGGCTACGAAACGATTTTGCTTACGTCTTGAACCGCAACTATTGTCTTCCGTGACAGGAGCGAATTAACAGAACCCGAGACTGCATGCATTGTTTAGCTTCAGATATCTTCGTGTACCTAAGAAGACCGGTCTTAAGTTTTTAACGATGGACGATAACCGAGGAAATAAGGCACTAAAAGTTAACTAAGATGTGATTAGGAATAAGTCCATTAAGGCATTTGTCGATTGCTTGGTCGGATGAGACATCGAGATTCGAAGCAGACAGCTGTCTTAGTCAATTTGCTTTCCTCTCATAACTTCCTAGTTAATTATGTGATCCCAGAGTTTGTTAGTTCAGAAAATTTTCAATAAAGGTAAGTAGTGTGATCAGTATTGGGAGTCAATAAGGTATTGTGTTTGTGGTTTTTTTAGGTGGAAATCTGGTATTTCGCTAATTAGGTTAAGGATTATTTGGGCCCCCCCGTCTATGAAAACCGAGTCCTACCGTTGCCGGAGATCAAGCCATACCGAAACACGTTGTTGGAATCCTGTTCACGAAAAGCTTTTGTTGAGCGTGGATGCTTGTGGGCTGCAGAGCATCTAAAAACATCTGCTTGGTAAATGCGTATTTCGAGTAAGCGAAGTGCTTAACATTTGAATGACGGTGGACCTCTGGGTACAGGAAATGCGCAAAAGACCTTTCTTAATAAAACTGGCAGCAATTACAAAAAAAACGTCTTTCTTGAACAATGAACGTGTTAAGTGAGTGCAGTAGGTGCGAAGTGTTTGCTAGCCCTTCTCTCAAATTAGTAAAGTTTCTCAGTACCAGGGAAGGGCAGAGGTTAGACAACTTGTGGTGAGTTTCTGTTCAGCGCGCGTGTTTGCTTTTTACTTGCAAAAAAACATTGTGCCCCTTTGGCTTGTTTGTGTGGCACTTCGAGGTGCTTTTGGTGGTCCAACGTTTCAATAGGGACCTCCCCTGCTTCAGTGCATTCAAACAATCCTTCAACGCTTTCATGGATTACTGCGTTACAACTGATTTCCTCACAGTTAGTGTAACGTCGTCAAAATATTGGATTTGCTGCTGATGCCATCTCGTTTGCAGTGGACGGGAAGATTAAAATTGCAGCTCATTACGCTTTAGAAGCAGTTCTTAATGCACAACATTCTGCTGATAAGCTTCGATGGGCTGTTTTCAATGAGACAGCATTGTTTACGCCACCGCCTTTTTTCACACTGGTGTAACTGACTTCTATGCATCAGATACACCTTCGGCGCAAATGCACAGTGATCCTAAAACTTCGACATCACTTTTTTCACTTAATGAGAGAAAAAATTCCGTCAAAGCTGTCTCAAAGTGTCGCTGAATGCCTAGGACCCAATAAATTAAAAGCAAATATCTTGCATGTCTTCCCTTTTACAATCAGATATTCTCTAGTCTGTGTGCACTCTTGAAGCAAACTGCTCGCGATACCTTACTCTTCAGGCCACCCAAAAACACTTGGAGGAAGTCGCCTACTTCTTATTGAGATTTCGAATTAAAATTTTTGACCCACTTTCACTCAACTTGCAACAACTAACGCACCCACTGGAACATAATTTTCTGCCCCTCCTACAGCTCCCCGGAGTTTTCATCCACAGCAAGAACTCATAGCCTTATTATGAGCATATATCATGAAGTGAAGTTAGACAGACCAAGGATAAAAAACAAGTTACGAGGTCAATGCAGAGGTTGTGGAGCAAATGCAATACAAGGCAGGAAAATTCAGGGGCGTTGCTTTTTACTCTGGGCAAGGTTTGGTTGGTTATATCGTGGAAAATTTATATTTTGGGGTCTTGAAGTTGTTACTGAAGGCCTTTCATCTCTAAGTACAAGCAATCACAAAATCCTATCTTAGAGGACGTCTGAGGACGAGACGCGAGAACTGGCAGCGTGGTGGGAGGACTAGGGTTCCACGTTAGACGATGCTGTCGTCCCCGTTGCTCATTGACAGCACCACCTTCTCACCGCTTCCGCCACCGCCTGAGGTCCGTGGAGGTGCCGGCGCAGTGATGAAGCCAATCTCAGGGTGGTGGTGCCGCAGTCCAGGGGGTTGTGGGTGTCCCAGGTAGTTTGGTATGGGCTCAATGTACTTCATCTCTTCGGCTACGACATCCTGCGCCCGCTTGTGACGGTAGATTTGCCATAGTTCGCAGGCCAGGTCACCCGCCATCATGTCGCCGACGTTCATGGAAATGAGGCGAATCAAAAAGATTCCGTCAGGCCGCAGAAAATTCTCGACAAACTTTTTAGACGTTGTCTTATCGGTGTCCTTCATAACACTCATAATCTTCAGGTAACGGCGAATGAATTTCAGGCGGTACCGCGCAAATCCCATTCGGAGGAACCAGTTGATGAAGGTGATCAGTGTGATCACACCCAGAGTACAATGCCAGAACCACAGGAAGATGAAAATCTTTTCCAGAAACATGTTCAATGGCAGGACACACTGAATTGTATACCTATTAAATTAAAAGAAGAATTTTGTGCATAGAGTTTATTGTACATTTTATGTCAAAAATTTTTCATTCACCTTTTTTAAGATAAACATTTGATGCACCAAATGCATATACCTTCTCGTGAGATCGAAAACATGGGAACGTGGCATTTTAAAAATGATGACAGACACAGACGCAAAGCATACGATCAATTCTTGATGCTGTATATATTCGGCAATTCAAGAAGGTCCGAGTTGGCTACAAAGTTATTAGTCACCGGGTCAAACGGTTGCGAAATTGTAAGGAAAATTATTTAAAACGGCAACATTCAAAAAGTCATTTCAAATTTACCACACCTTCTAACGATAACGTCTGATGTCGGATCAGCCATGGTGACAGGAAAATTGTTAAATGTTTAAAGAACTACGCAAGTGTGACAGAGTATTCCCCCTAGGTGCGTGCTTTTGTGAGAACTCAGCCTCATTTTGTCCAACACGTTTCCTTCTCATGTCTTCGCACATTCTAGCCCATTCTGAGGGTTAAAAAACAGCTTTTACCAGTGAAAGTGCCTTTGCTTGGTGCTTATGACCGAGTCACCTAAGTGCCTGGGAATAACGGCAAACTTACGCCTTTCCCACCTCTAGTCCCAACACCTGTCTGTTTGCAAAGTGTTTAAAAATCCCGCTCTACCCGATATTGTTCTGAATCGAATAAATTGAATGTCAAAAAGACACCAAGAGTGCCACAACTCAACATTTATTGTCAAATTCCCCGAAAAAATGAGATATTCATTTGCCAATGAGGACATATGGATTAATTGAATACAGTACGATACTATGTAAAATATGCTAGACTGACAATCTATCATTAAAAGATGCATGGCATCAAACAGCACTTTCGCAACACTTATACGGGCATGTGGCGACAATGGTGGTGCTAGTATGTTACATCAATGGTTGTGGGGTGTCAATGCACGAAAATCTAATGAGAATCTACTTACCAGCACAAGCAAGAGAACTGTGGTTACGATGAAGAATGACAAGGCAATAATACGCTTTGTGCATCCCTTTAAAGGTGTGCAAGGTAAATCACGGAAGACATTTCGAGATAATCATAGGGCATCAACAAATTGGACGGGAATGCGATTATCCCTTTGAACAACTCGACAGTTTTCACAGAAAATTGGAACCGACTGCTTCCTTAGAATGAGGTAAGCCTTATTCAGGAGCCTCTGAACAGCAGGTGGACACATCCATACCTTCACAAGCTGGAAATGCTTGAGAGTTTGTGAAAAATGAGGACTAGTCGTGTGTTGCGGCCAATGAAAGGAGTCACAGAAGTTATTCACCTCCAAATAAACCTGTGTGGTTGTGATTCAAGTGCTAGGCCACCACTAACGCTCCCAAGAAGGTCTAAGATTAAGCTAAGTGATTTTTCGAACTTCACAAGCAAAAAGTGAAGGCAGTTGACTTAACTGTGGAGAATGTGTGAGAAATGCCCAGAAAGACGACAGCAGAAACAGATCATTACGGATTAGCAAACAAGTATTGTTGGTAGGTAAGAGCTCAAGAATCCTTAGGTATGCACTCATTACGCTTTATCCTCCAGAGTGAAACTTGGTCTATCATCTCGTCCAGTTCGCTTATTAAAAATCCCCAGCAAACAAAACATGGTATATTTTACAAGCAATGGGGGTAGCGCTGACTTTCTTTTATGACTCCGCTTCATAAAGACGCGTTTCAAAGCGTAATGACATCAAAAAAACTCCTGACAACTAAGTAAGTGCAACAAACTGTGAAGCGCGTGAATTAAAAACCTCCACTAAAACGCGTAAAGTTTAACACTAAACCAATACACGATTCCTTGACCACCGATGTAGCAAATTAAAAGCGTCTTGTCACAGTTTTCAGTGAATAAGGGACTTTAGTAAAAAACCAGCAAAATAATGTTCGTTCTTTTTACGCAATACAAGCGTTCGACGTTGCAAATCTGAGAGAATTAAATTCCATTTGGATAATGCGGTTTGGATCGGACAGTTGGGTGACTAGATGTGTCCACTGTGATTTGTTGGTCGCAAGACTGATGCGCGAGAAATTGTCTGAATTGATTCGCTAAGGGAAAATGTCGAGGATTCCCAAAACTACACAATTTTCACACACACCTGAACACTGAACTTCAAATCACACTTGATTAAATTCAACTGCATTGCAAATTCCTTATTCAATGACTTAGAAGGCCTCATTTTTATCTGCTCATGCGAAATTAACTTGAACTGGTTCTTCATTTACCAACCTGTAATTTGGCACATCAACAAGCTGACGCTTCAAGGAAAAAACCTATTGCAGTTTTTCTCAATTCGGTGTGATAATTAAGAAAGCTTTGTGTAATGAACTGTGTTCAATGAAGATGTCTGTTAGGTAAACTGGAAAAAAGTCAACAAGCCCAACTGCGACTATCATGTTGGTTACAACGCAAAAAATTGGTGCTTGTGATATTGGCTGACTGCAGGGTTTTGATAACAGCAATGTTATGGCACAAAAAAAGTATTACTATTAATCTGGTTTCATGCTCTACGGCATAAATTAATTTTTTGTGGTCCTGTTTAAGATCTCCGTGTTAACTGTTAGCCCCGCCACTTAGCTTCAGAACCATCTGTTGACGGTAAGCTAGAAGCTGTTTCCTGGAAATACAACTTTCACAATGGACCACCAGGTGTTTACTATCCATGATCTTGACGGGATCCAGTTGGACGACTCCAGGGTGTCCAGTGGGAACAACTAGCCAGATAACTAAAGAATTTTAATAGATTCATTTGCAAAATTAATATCAGGATTGCGCAAATTATTCGTTTTTCTTTAGTTCAAGGCTCTAAGGACCAAATTTTTTTCACAAATAATTTAGAAATTGTAAGCCGAGATGGATTTTGCACTTTGGCATGGATGGGTACTTGGACCTTTGGGGTATAGCATCTAGAAAGAATCGGTGGTGGCCAGACTTCTATTTGCTCCCCAACGCCCTCCTTGTGCATTTACCAGTCATGTATCCGTGTTTTAATTCCAATAATCGTTGGGCGTCACTTACGATTTGCTCACTGGGCAAACGAAACCTACATAACTCCAGCGTGACGTGCCTATTGTTATATAAGTACACTGTTGCAAACTTCGTTGGGTAAGGTAACACGAATGCATTGTTGAACAGTCCGTATTGTCTTCGACTCATCAAAGATTTGGTGAGTGTGTTCAACCGAGGGCCTTACAGATTCACAGACAGTAATTGTTTTCAATTTGGGCCGCGATAATCATATCAGTACGTCATGAATTTAGAGGGTATTTTTTCAGTCTGTAATTTCCATTGATAAATCAAGTAAGGATATCCTAAATTACCGGTCTCGTGTTACCAAATGTTGTCCTATGCGCTACGAAATTTTCAAGGCAACATTCGGTTTTCTTAAAATACGAATTGACGTCTTGGTTTAGTTAATTTATGGGGGAAAATTCGAAACCAATAAAAAAGCGGAACATCAAATAAATCAATTTTTTCTCAAAAGGATGTGGAGATAAAAAGCACAAGTAATGAGATGAAGTTTGTGCAGCCAGCAAGAGCTAACTTTAAAAGACGTTTAATGCTGAAGCAACCTCCAGCGACTATTTGAATCACAACGTTTAAACCGACTGCATTGGCATTCAGCATTTGGAATGAAAGCTAAGCCAGTCTTCGCTTGAGGCGATATTCCACACGCCCGCGGCACCGCAATTTCTGGATTAGACGTGGTGGCCTAATTAACTGCAAGGAGAACATCGCACAACCTCAGACACTCCAAGCGACTGGAATTGTACTATTTGAGGGACAAAACACCGACGAGAATTAAGTGAACGATTAATGAAAATTTAACTAGATTCTTGAGGGCTCGCACGTGAATTTGTATGCTTTTGTGGGCTGCCCCAGAGGAATCTTTCATCGAAGTTGATGAATTCACTGTGAGTAGAGGCTTATCCGAGCAGGTTTTTTGCCCAAGCCTTTCACTCTTGCAATTCATTAGCTCCTTTTCACACGACCTCTAAAACATCATCCAGGTTGCACCGTCGTTGAGTGTTAACAAAGAAGAGGATTTTAATGCAGCGTGCTCGGTGCTTCAATTGGTTACCTCAACAAATCGGAAACCCCAATGTCTAGTGACTTTAGTTTTGACAAAAACTATCCGTGTCCTACAAGTGGCCACAAGGAACCTGGGTTTTCTCTGCTTCTACGGACGTGGCCCTGCAGCAACTCTTCTTTATGAATAGAACCCTGGTGTAGGGAGGTCACCTGGATGGCAATCAGTAAGGCATATCGAAGCAACCAAACTGACATTTCCTCGCCAGGATACACTCTCTCCTATGTCTGTCTTTCCGAGGCTTTTGACCACTAAAGGAGGCAAATTGGAAGGTTTGTCAAGTTCAATCAAACTATTCAAGGAAACTAAACATCTTTACGTCACCTCCCACAGTGTGTTTTAAGGGCAGTCCTTTCACCTCCCACCGCAGTAAACTCTGATTTTATTGCTAACTTTTGCACTCTTTGACCTCGTGTACAATGTACGTAACGGAAACTAATTGCCTAATTCTAAATGCACACATGGTTTTTCCTACTTGCCAGGCCATCTGCTAGACTTGTTTTGCTAAATTTATAGGTAGTTCCGTCATGAACGCGATTACTCTTGCAAACTGATCAGACGGAGGAATGCTATTTTGAAAACAAACGTGGATAGTTCAATTTTATCGTTTTAGGAGTATTGGAATAGGGTGTGAGTCATCTGGCTTCTGTTGTTTAGCTGACATAAAACCGCAAAGCTAGAATTGCATTAGATAGATTAGGGAGAAGAGCTGAGGAGTAAATCATTCACAAAAACGCTCAAAGACAGTTAATCGGGAGACAGACCACTCAATTTTCCACAAACACGACACTGGCATCACCAGTCTAGACTTGGATTTGGCCAGCAGTTCAGAAGTCATGACTTAGCCGAATTAATTGCAAAATGATGGTGGAGAATCTGCTAGATGATTACTACAGATGGAAAGGTTTGATAAGTTTTTCTAAATAGCAAATGGCCCAGTAATCATAAATTGAGGATAGCTGATGTGAAGGTGATAATAGTGGAAATCCAAGCCAGATGTTATCGCATTTTCTCAATTTGATAGACATCCGCAGTGCACATCATTTATGTCACTACAGAGCAGCACTGTTTACACTCAACGTTGCTCACAAATTACGGCAACTTGGGCTTGATTAGAGCCAGCATCTGAAACATGGATTTTTATTCGCTGGCATTCACTTAAGCACGTTGACATTCGAGGAAAATCCTTGCCCAAGCAGCATCATCAAGTCGTGATTAAAAGTACGTGACTTCTCCGGTTTTCTCTCACTCCGCTGTTTTCAGAGTTGCCTTTTGCTGCAATTAATTTATCAACCTACATCAGATGCATTTTTCATAGCTTAGAACACCAGGAATGGTTTTTTGCGAAGCAAGAGATTTCAGCACACAGTGTCGTAAAACGAATAGACCGCTTCTAGTCAATAAGAGACGGGATTTCACATTATCCATTTTCATCTCCAAAGTGTAACGAGGCTTCTTCCACGTGCAAATGCACTACCAAACATGATGAAACGAATGATGGAATAATCTTTCCTGCCTGGTTGCCATTCAGCCTGTGCAAATTCAAACCAAATCCTCAAAATACTTATTTTATTGCTAAAGGCCAGAAATCACAGGAAAGTGGGTGTGCAGGGCCTACTTTACCTGTCTGGCAAAAAGAAGCTGTGTGCAGATAAACCTGGAGGTGATGATTTCTTCAGAACTTAGCATTAGAGGTGGCAGCCGAGTATGTTTGAATTACCTATATCCAAAGTCAAACAGTGTCATTATAATCAAGCGTAGTTTGTTTAATAGCATTAATGTATGAGGAGAAGCCATGTGCGCAGAAATTGTAAATACAAAAAAAAGCTTTCATAAAGTAAAGCTGCAGTCTAGCCTGTTTACACACGCATATCCAAATTCAATCCTTTCAGATAATCTGTGCTTCCATTAAGCACCCATTTGCTGCATCCTCGTTGAATGTGAGGAGATGTCTGAGCGTGCGCTCTTTTGTAAAAACATCCCTTCTTGTGTGTCTGTTTAAGAAACGCTGACTACGCACTAGGACGCAGCCCGACAACTGAGTTGAATCATCCAATAAGCTGTCGAGTCTCTGGTAGACCCGCCACTCTCAGCCTTCTTGGGTATCCGCGTTGCATAACCGTTTCGAGACCCGCATTACGGACTTCCACAACCGGTGAGCCCGATGTGATTACCTGGTTGATCTGATACCTCAACATCACAATCCCAATTTTTTACTTAAGTAGAAAACGCTGCTTCAGCATATATGACTATTGAAATCTAAACACCTGCAAACGACATACACCTACATGGTCACGAACCATTGTTCCTTGGGTTGGCATGAAAACCCAATTTTGACTAAAGTGGCATTTTTAAAAGCTTGTCTTCTAGTGGACAACTACCTGCTGAGACGTGCTCTCCGATTTAACGAAACAGATGTGGGATATTTCTTTTTGTTGTTTAATCAGTTTGGGTAAAATCTACTGTAAGTTGTACCCACTTGAGCGCAGAGTATCACCACTTTGCCTGAGTTTGAAGTGCAACAACGTGAATCAGAGAAAGCAAATGACAAAAGGAATCAAGTATGAGGAGCAGTCAGTAATTTATTAACGGAAAACTTTTTCTGCAAACTGATGCTTTTAATTTCCGGATAAAGTTACATGCTTGCTTGGTGCTTAAGAAAACATTTTAAACAATTTTTCTGCTACATAGTTATGTGCGTGTCTTCGCACAAGTTTTGTGATTTTAGATTTCAGAGTTGTATTTTCTGTTATAAGTATTCAAACCATAAAATGTTTGTTATTACTCTTCTTTGGGGCAACACTGATTATTCTGCTTTGAAAAGTATAGCTCAGCTCAAAATTCATGACAGGCTAAGGCAATAATTGCAACCAAGCGGGCGTGGTTACAGGACGAACATTGAAAATGCATAACAACGTTTTGGTTTGAGGGCAAGTAATAAACATTTATTATAAAGTTGTTGAACATCTTACTAACTCGAGTACTACTGATCTGGACAAACACACTGTGCGAATTTAGCTAATGGAAAAGCATAGTTTTTTGGCATCTAAAACATCCATGATGCGTTAGGAAATGAGCTTGTATAATAACGTGAAGGCAAATAATTAAGCAGACAAAGTAGTACGGACGACTTAACTTGGATAAAATGGAAAAAGTTTAGAGTTTTGGTCCCTTATGTAACAACGTGTGCAACTTACAGTTGATTTTTGCCCAGCTTTTTTGCCTCAAAGTCGCAGAACGTGACACGTGGAAAGTTGCCCGAGGTGTGCCAGTCACTGCCTTGGAGTAGATCTATTAAAACTCGGATGCCGTAGAAGGCAGTATTAGTTCCAATAAACTTTTCCATGAGGATCAGCTGTCCGACAATGTTGATGAGGTAAAGGCCTTTGACGAAGAAGTACAACACAACAAGGAAGTTGCCACTTCGTCTGCCGCAGCAGTTGTAACTCCTCGAGGTCGACTTGCCTCCCCGACGTGCGAGTTCGGCGCGCTCCGCGGGTGAGGTCAGGCCACACGCCCCGGCTGGACTGCTCTCCGTGATCGGGTTCAACGGCAGCTTCCGTGTCCTCCTATGCGATGGCCTCGAGTACCAGCAGGATCCGAATGGTCTGAGTCCACTGCAGAGTGAGCTGGTCTTGCGCTTATGGCGTCGTGAAGAGGACAGACCCAGATTTGGCTCACCGTTGCTGCGCTTGACACTCGGCGCGCTTCTCCGCGCCTCCGCTTCAGCTTTGGTGTAGCCCGGTGGGGGTACTTCGGTGTCCATGGGGTATCGCTGCATACCGCGATAAGGGAACGAGGAAGTGCTGCTGGGGGCGGCGCGCTTGTAGTCTCGCAGACGGTAAATGCAGCCTTCCATGTAGCGTGCAATAAAACGCACGTTCTTGACACCATGCTCGGGCAGGAGGAGGTTGGAGTCGTTGGCCATCTGCATGATACGGCGCACATTGAAACCGGAATGCGAATTGAAGAGGCGCCAGATGAGACAGGGTAGATAGAAGAGAAGAGCCTGGATGGCCATCAAGATGGGTGCCCACTGGTAATAGAGGATGCGAGAGTTTTCGCGGTCCGCCATGGTTGGTGGAAGGCGCTTGGGCAAGGGGGAGAAGTAGGTGTTGGAAACCCAGCAGTAGTTCTCGGCGTATTCCTCCCAGCCACGAGTGAACTCCTGTGGAATCCAGCACTGAATTGGCTTGCCTAAGATGCAAATGAACTGCAGTTTTAGTCTTAAAAGTTAGTGTTAATATTAATCAGTCATAAACTCCATTCGTTCCGAAATGGTGGATTTTCAGCTGTGCCGAGCATCTCACCGTATTCTCCCTGACAGCCTTCCAAAGTATGCTTATTTTGCTAGTTTATATGACTTCTAAATTTTTCACAAGTACAAGCTCTTTGTGATGTTTTTGCTTGCACTACGAATTTGTTTTGTGCGTATGTTCAAAACACACTCAAGGTATTACATTTTAATCAAACCACGCGTAATATCTGCAACTGACAAATGTGCCTTAACATCAACAGAAAATGCGTTCACAATGAAGGCGCTGAAGAAGTAGTCCTAACTTTACCCGGAACCGTAATGCACATTGAACTCTTGACCTGAGGGTCATAAAGTGTTTCGCGTTGACACAGTGTGGCTGTCTTCAGTGTACGTTCACTGTAAGAAGACTTTTCTCAACATGTCAGAAGTCAAGCAGCTGTGTTAACTTGTTATATTTTCCTGTTGGGTCCAAATCTCAGTTACACGATACAATGAGTGTGTTTTGAACTATTTCAAACTCAAGGCGATTTTAAAAATAGATGAATTCTGTTTTTCAGAAATGGATACGATTTTTGTGTCTAAAGAAGAGCATCACAAACTAGGCAAAATGTTATCACTCAGACATAAGCAGGAGACGCTGGCTAGTGCCATGTATGCGTGCCACGAGGCATGACAGTTGGATATATTTATCGCATGTTTGAACTGCTATATCTAAGTAGCGATATCTGATATGACATTTCAACCTACGTAGATGAGTTTAAAAGACAAAGTAGCAGGTGATTATCCGTAAGAAGGAGAAAGCGACTTCCAACTGCACGACCACTTAATGCGAGGGCAAAAAATGTTTTCGTGTGAGTTCTGTGAGAATCGCCTGCCAAAGCAGACGTTTTAGGCAGTCAGTTAGCCGTTAGGCGGAATTCCATTGCCTAGCGGATTTATCTACCACGCATTTTGGTGGCTGAACTGTAATCTAACTCATTGAGAAGATTTTCGGCTAATGTGGCTTTATATTATTGTGCAATTTACAAGTCATTTAAGACTCGGATATTTGTTAGAATTAACGACGTTTTTTCCCATTTTTATGGTCCCTCAAAATAGTTTGCCTAAGGATAAATTAATTACAGTAACTCACGCTGTCAGCTGTCCTTACACACTCATTTATATTAAATCAAAAGAAGAGAGGTCTCAGGCCAAAGTGAGTAGATAATGAATCTTGAGAGTGCACAGTTGTGCGACGTTTCTGGTCCATCAAGTATTTATAAGCTCTGTCACGCAACACTAAGCCGTACCTTCAAATAAGAATTATCTGTGATATAATGTTTTCAGAATTTGCCCATTTCGATTTCTCCAGTTCATGTACAAACTGAGTGACAGTAATTTTGTCCGTTTTTACTCGTGGCCATTCGTGAAAATTCCACAATCTTTTCGAATTTAATTTTCAATGCTAAATTCGCATAAGGGGGAAAATTTGTATTGACCGAATGTTATTAACCAGGAATAACAAACTACGTGGCTAAGGTAATAGCAAGTGGTGAATGATGAACTGCCTGTCAACCTAAGGGTCTGTTTACTGAATTTGGAAATGTAACTGATTGAATTGGAGAGATGTGTTGAAATTGAACCCAAGAAAGAATAGTACTCATATTAGAAGTGATTAAACGGTCGGTGTTTTGAATTACTTTGTAGAATCGAACTACTTAATGGATAAGAGAATTAGGCTCGTTTTCACAACATGCATCCTCTGAATAAACTTGCGCTTTCTCGGTATTGTCATAAGTCACAAATACTTATTTTATGCCAAATAATATCTTTAAGATCTTAAAATCACGCTCAAACTATTTCTGTTTACAACAATGAGGTGGGTGTTAACCGAGTCTTTAGGGCATCGATATTTTCTTTTGACTTTTGACGTTCAAGCCTAGGCAAATTTAGAAAATTCTCCTACGTCGAAACGTGGATAGTTTTCGGTGTGGGCAGGGTGGTTAGAGAGGCCCAGAAGTGCAAGAAATGTCACAAAGCTGTTTCAAATAACGCAGCCACATTTTTTTATCAGCAGGATGCTTAACTTAAAATCTTTAGTCATAACAACTGCTGAGGAACCGTTTCCTGCAGTTAGATATTAACATCGATTATTTTAGGGAAGAAAATTTGTGACAGGTAGTTCTACAACACTTATTTCACATACTCAAGATTTTCCAAATAGTTGGTCAAATAATATTTATGCCTTTTAATGGAAATCTATTTGTCTGTCAAACATAGTTGCTTTGCCAAAAGGAGTCGCCTAAAATTTTGTTTTTTTTTACTAAAAAACTTGCTATTTATGACTAAGTTTATTTTATTGTCCTGTAATTATGTGCAAACAAGTGGTTTTCCATTCTGGTTGGTCCGTTCAAATTGCTCAGAACATCGCTTTTTTCCAAGTCAAGTAAGAAATCTTATCAAAGGAGAAGTTTAAAATGTTTTTTAGCAAGCGGCCTAGGGAAATAATCCAGCAATTATTGCTTATCGCTTCAATAGAAGGATTGTTAGATGTTTTAAGTTCTTTAACCAGTGTGGTTACTAACTGAGCGAACTTTTTGGTCTGTATAAAATCCATAAAATGTCAAAAATTCAGTCTAAAGAAATCTGTAGTTATACTGTGTATTTTTGCAGTCACGTCTCTGTGTCTACTCCCTGATTTTACCTAAAATGACAATTAACCAGAGTGGTTCCTTCTAATATGTGTACACACTCTAAGGATGAAGACGAAAATAATATTTGCTAAGAACCAACAAGGAAGTCCAAACGGGAATCGTTTTACAACAGTAAAATAAATAAACGAAATATGCGCTAACCGTTGGAACTCAAAGAAACAAACCGGACCTATTTTTGAGTCAATTGGAGTCAGCACATGCGTCTACTGTTTGTAACGGACCTTTCCTCGAGTCAAGCACATCAACTTGCTATTTTAGCAAATTTATTGTTTTCCTGCGTGAGCGCAACACCAGCGCTAGACTCGCTGTTTTATTGCTCACGGTGTCAACAGGGGTTGTTAAAGGAGGCATGTGATGGAAGTCCATAGCTTGCTTTCATCTCAGCTTTTCCGTGGACAACGAAAAGCCAATTGGCTATTTAAAGTTGGGGATTAAATGGTCACAAGTGGGAGTTTTACAAATTCCTTGGGGCAACCGCATGTAATTATGGCGGAATTCAAAAACGAACTTAATCCCTGTCGTAGTCTCAACGAACCAACTTCATTATTATTACACAATAAAATCTGAGGTACATCTCAGAGGTTGATTTCACATTGAGATCACGCATACCACCTACAATCACAAATAATTTTACGTTTATACTTGCACTAAATTCACCCATTTTTTGTTATTTTCATGTACAAAATCAACAATTGTCATGATTTATGACCCCTAAATGACATGATGCATTGGTGCTTTTGGGGATACACTCCAACTGTTTGCCATCGCATAGTGAAGCAGAATTTGCTCAAGTCGTGTAATTAAAACCGGATGGAAAGCAAAGTTGCTCAGCATACATTTCGAGACAAATGATTTGGTGGTTAGTTTAATAATAGGTAGCGGCAAAAGTACACTACCTCTGAGTGCACAGTTTTCCATCCTCGGAAAAAAACAAACTTTATTTAAGTGCAAGAGAGACTGGAAGTATGCAGCGGCCTAGGGCGTTGCTTCCCAAGCTGCCATGCACAGAGGTTATGAGTTTTTGGGCGATGGCCAGAGCAGTCTTTAGTAGACAATGCGCAAGTACATTTAATGCAGAGGCGAACCAGAGAGTGATACTCAAAGCAAAGTCGACATCAACGATTCTTATTATTCGAATGCATTCAAGTTTAATGTGTAAACATTCGCGGTGTTTACCACTGCCTTTACTTTTTCCAGAGCACTTTAACCGTGATGAATAGAAGGGGGCCTGGTTGAATCAAATTATGATGTTTTAAAATTTTCTAAGTGTCCTTACAGGGTTTAAGAGCAGAAGGTTCACCAATGGAATGTCGATGTGATTGACAGACTGACAAAGTTGTCATTTTATCACCCATTTGGTTGCAGGTATCCCTCGTAAGCTAATATATTTTATCACTAATGCAAATCTATATTTTTCAAAAACAAAATATTCGCCTTTTGATAGGTTAAGAACAGCTATTCACTGCTTTACGCTATCAGATATCAACCTAAAAGATTCCATAAACACTATGAGCATTGACCTTAAGGGTGTATAGGAAAAGCAAATGTCAATATTGTGTAACCATCTGCTGTAATTGGCGGTTTTCATGTGCTTTGAGGAGTTAGCTTAATAAAAACTTTGATATGCAACAATTCCACCAATAAAAAGGTGCCATCTTGTAAATGGTACGATTAAACAGACCGTAACAATCACCGTCTTTAAAAAAACTGCATGTAGGGCTACTACTTGCACCAAAAGCACGGGCCTTGTTGTCCTATGTTTGACAAATGTAAAATCAGTTCAACGTGAATAAAAGAATAACCAGCCACTTAATCAACATCTGATATAATATGGGATAAGCGGCCTACATTGTGAAGCTGTTCAGTTGAATTTTTAGGTGCTTTTAAACGAGACACTTTTCTGTAAGATTAATGACAATAATCGCTGAAGGTGACTTCAGCAGGCACCTTCGATCTTCATTTCCTTCGGGATTTTTTAATCTTGATTTAAACAACTTATTCCTTCTAGGAGTACTAGCCCTGAATTATTACGCAAGTTAGACAGCTTTCCTTAAGAAAACATGTAACCTGGTTTTTGATGAGAAAATTAGTTGGTTGCACACATGGGTGTACACTGTTCCTTGGTGGTCCATTTGAAAGTGTGTGTGGTTTAGGCGGTAAGGAGGCTATCTTACAAAAAAAGAGAAATCCAGAATGGTAATGATGATTATTAAACCATTGGCTTCACTCACCACGGTGGTGCATCTAATTCTTAAAGTACTAACTTTGGTAAAATTTAAATAACCACGTTTTATTGGTTCCCTAATGATTATTCACCAAATATCACTCGAAAGGCCTTTGCCAACTCCTAAGAAGACAATGCAAAAAGGGCGATTCTCTTTAGCCAATTTGCTGGCAGGGCATTACCGAAACAATAGCTGGCCAATAAAGTTGCCACGCCTAGTTATTTCCTTACGAGGAAAAAACCATTGTGCTCAGCCATTACAAGTCACATTTCACGTCTTTTTTTAGATCTCAAGGCTTTTAACAAATTCTTAACGATAAAATTAGTAGCATAAAAGTAGTCATGCTATTAATTCTACGGATTAGTATTTAAAAGCAATGACTAGTTGGAATGGTGGAGTTGCTGCAACCAGAATATTACTAGTTCCGCTAGAAAGACATAAGTTCTACTCACAATGGTTTATCAAGGAACTGAAAAAGACCATAAATTCTGGCCAGGCCAATCATTTGTTCATGTTAATGCCGACCAGTAAATCTGTAACCGACAAATCAAAGGCATTTTAAAGATGAATGGAGCCAAATTCCGCAAAGGAAGTGTAAAACTCAATATATCTTTTATTACTTTAGGAACCAACTTCTCTTCGATCAAGAAAATCGGTTCAAATATTATTTTGTTAGTAAGCGCAATCGAAATAGGTCCTTTTTAATCCAACTAACACTGATACCCTTTGTTCAAATAGTTAGAGACCTTCTCAGTTTGAACTATCATTCCGGCCCCAAACTCATGAAGTCGAAAATATTTTAAATAGCTCCAGATTTGCACAAAATTCAGGGAAAACAATCAGCCTTGCCAGTGTAACAACAAAAGTGCTCTAAGTTAGCAATTACCACATCAGCTAATCACTTAAGCCACTAGTTCCAACATTACACCCATTTGTCTGAAACGGTCCCCACATACCTTGGTTTTATCCGTATTTAGAGTAGAACTTACGCCAGTCTTCTATAATTTAACGGAAGATGTCAAATTTAAAGTGAAGTTTTTCTCAACTCATCTTCTTTCGGCCTCTAAAAATGCATAATTATTCTCTTCTACAACGTACTCTCCCGAAATATCAGGGCCATGTGGTTTTTGGTCTAGTCTTTGATTTGTTTATACGATTGCAGTTGAAAAGCGTGAAAATTGGCCTAATCTGCGGTACTGCTCCTTTTGGTTTGGAGCAACACATCCGGTGTAAATGTAAAAACCAGGTCTTCTCAAATCTCACAGCTCATTCTGCATAAAACAGTCATCGCTGTCTCGAATTGTAGCACTTAACAAGCTAAGCAGGAGCCTATTTTCAGGGACAAACGAAGCACGAATATCTGGCGTACAGAATGAAAAATTATTCAGTGTCATTCGCGCCGATGATTTGTGTGGGAATCAGCCTAGTAACAGCTGAGACTCACCCTATGCTTGGGTCCAGCATAAACCAACACAAACACGTGCATATACCGAATACCCAATATTAGCGGTACAACTGGACAGTGTCGTGATAACTTGGAAAATATTTCATGCAGAGCTGCGACCTCATTCTTATTGTAATCAACCAAGCTGATTGACATAGAAATACAGTAGTGCAAATGTCCGGATGCACAAAAAATGGAGGTAAATGAAATGAGGGAAATTAGAAGGGTTATTCCGTAAATGTAGAACGTAGAATGTTGTTCATTTTATGAAAATTGTCGTTTCTTCGCGGTCAATCACAGTCAAAACCCCTGACTACTATCACACTGATTCTATTATGATGTTGGAAATAGATACAGAAACGTCAACATTATGTGGTACAAAATACACTGTTGGCGAAATCAACTAGAACAAAACTGGTTTTTCGCTTGCTTGGGTGCAGATTTTACGGTTTATCGGTGTCCTGGTGTTCTTGCAACATTATTACTCTTCTTTCGACTTACGACAGTAGGTAAAGCGTCTAGGAGACAATACTCAAAAAGCTATGTCAGTTCCTATTTGGTGAAAAATCAAAAAACAATGGATCTTTCCAAAATTACCACCGGACACGCGCCGACTACATGGCCACCATCTTTGCCCAAAACTTCCAACCGCTTTGATTTGTCAGCAGCCCAGATGCGCGATAGTGAGGGACTTCGGACACGCTTATGCATGGGAAACTTTACTTTAAAGTGGCCACTACCCCGGAAATGCTTTTCATCGCCAGAAAAGCCCGATTTTTAAGTCGGCAGCTTGTGGGCCCACGACGTTCAAGCGACAACAAAATGCCATAGGTAGTCAAAGCTGTTTGGTTCTCGGAGCTGTCCAAAGATTTTTGGTCGTTCACAACCTTCATTCCGACAACCATTTTCACTTTAAGTATTTTGAATTTGTTACTTTTTTGCTAACGCCACTTGTGGTGGCATCCCCCGGGAATTTAGTTGTCTTTTCCGAAATGTGTCATGTTAACCCGTAACAATTTTTTTGTTACTTTGGCCGCAATTTTAATTAAACTAAAAGAAGGATTGCCCTCGTTTCTCTTCGAGTGTGGTTTTTGCTCTCGCATCAGGTTTAACGTTCATCGGAAATATCAGCATGAGGCAGGGATAGTAAGACATTGCAGAAATAAAAGTCTGTCGTTTTCCATAATTATGCCGTTTATTAAGACAATGCCTCTGTGAAGCATATTTACAAGTCATAAAAGTCACAAAATTGTCCTAATTCAAAAAATAGAAATTTGTTTTTTAGATTGTTAACCAGGCCTTGCCAAAGCACGAATGAAAAAGACGTTTGAAAAACACAATTCTATAGTCTTTGGTGAAAGACGGCGAACTTGGACTAAGATTATAAGACACTGAACATGTCACTGAATGCTTTTCGCCGTATAATTAACGCCTCGTTCACAAATAACAGACCACAGAATTGCCTGTTTGCATCTTGATCAATCTTTTGTAAATCAAACAAACATTCAAAGAACTTTCTTCTGCAGGAAAAGCACAGTTGGGACTAAACCATAAGCATTGTGAAGTTGTACAACGAACCAGTTGGTGAAATTATGTCAAAACATCGATAAGCTTCCATCCGAAAGGATTGGTGGTTGTGAAGAATTTGTGCATTTTATTGGTGGCCACGCTGAATCTTCTTGATTCTTGGGCCTCCTGTCAAAATTCTTCCTAGTGAGCTGGTGGCATGAGACTGGGAAACTAGTTATAATCTGCTTAAATTCTTTGTGATGGAAATAAATAAGGGTTTCATGGATAGTACGCAGAATGTCACAAATTGAATATGCAGTTGTAAAATTTCAAGTTAACAAAAGTTCATTTTCATTTTCCTTCACGTTTGTGTCTGTGCGGGCATTTATGATCCAACCACGTATCCACTGCAGGACATAAATTTCACTTGTACTGTTCACTATTTAAGAACATCAACGAATTAACTAGCGGTTAGTTCAATTTATTCCGTACAGGAAGCGCATTTTTCGCAGTTTTGGATTTGCTTCACGGTGAGACATCACAATCATCGAAATAAAATTCCCCTACACGGTGTGTATCTCTCCGAAATCGACAACCGATATTAGTGCAGTTTGCATACGTGGGAAGGGTGTAGAGAGGCATTTCTTGCACGACCTCCCCTGCAACATGCCTCGAGGTCACACGATGTGCATGTAACATTGCGAGTGTGGAGGGGCAGCATGTATGCAATCTTGCCTCTTGTACAGCCTAAGGTCACCGTTAGGTTAGTCACCAATCTTCACCACATGCGCTAGGCTGATTTCACCTGTGGTGCAAAGTGGGGGCACGGAAACTTTAAATACGCACATACATACTTGGGATACGGGGCTTCATTCCTACAAACACCGACCCAAGCTGAGAGACCAAATGCCAAGTTGGGTACTGGGTTCACTTGAACGGTCAGATGAATAGTTAGGTCCTGTAGCTTTGTGATTTCAGTTGTGTGAAGGCATTTTGAGACAATTCAAACAAAGGTTTTCAGCATGACTAGATTTAAAACATGCAGTCAGGAGAATGACGCGCATTCATCGTCCTTAATCGGAATGTAGATGGCCTTAAGGAACGCATTCTAACTATGAACTAATATACAAGTTATACGCAGTCAAGGGTTACAAAGGCCAAATTCTTAACATTTACCTATGGTAGATAAGACTTCAGGAGGTAAGGCGCGTCTGTGTACACTGCGTAAATGCCTAAGTGGCGGCCACGTCAAGTGCAGCAACCATGACATTTAAAGTGTGGTTTACAATTCACACTTTCACAGGTCAGGAAATCCTGTCAGGCGCATGAATTCAAGTGCCGCTTTTATGCATCCTGGGCACGAATCGGTACTAAACCGTCATGTACAGTGAACTGGCTTGCATATTCTGATTATCCAAATCGTAGAGCCCGTATATATAAACGAGAAGCGTTACATTAAGGCTGAAGTTTGTGAGCTCCTTTTATGGAGACATAGAGGAAACATTGCTGCTATAAGCATCGGGAATGAACACACCGATTGAGTTATAGCCTAAAACGAAGTCATTCAAGAGAAGCATTGACACCAATCAACAAATCTCTAGTCGATACCCTACCAAATTTACTAATTTTTGATGAATCACAAACCCTTGATTATCAGTTATACTTTTGCGACTGATCATATTGTTCAAGTTTATTTACGAGGTCTGAAATCGTGAGATCAAGCTAACAGAATCCCCAAAAGTTAGATCCCTGGCATTAAAAACACATGCACATTGAGCCATTGAAATCTAAATCGTTGAAGGCAAAAACGAAAACTCTGGTGGGTCACGATATGGGCAAACTTTCCTATTTTCTGGACTAATTCCGCATTTCGTTGAAGATAACCTGTATGATATACATCTTGCAAATGTGCGACAGATACCAAGTGATTTATGCTACACAGGTGCACAAATAAGGAGGGTAAATCACTTTCCAGATCGAAACCACTTGCAGACACGCTGAAGTGCCAACTGAAACGCACTTTTTTATGCTGCGAATGACACTCAGTCGATGAGGAAACAGGACGACTGCAAACTGGCAAAGTAGTTAAGCATTTCGAGTGCTCCAAAGCCAAAAATTAAAGTCGGGTTTATCATTCAAGACAGCCAGCTGAAATTGTTGCCAGTTGTGACCATTAGCGTAATTTACACACGTCTTATTATTTACCCTACGAACTGCGTTCAGTCTGTTTTGTAATACGTCGCTTCTTCCAGAAGTCTGTGAACAGCTGCGCAAGAAATACGTGGCATCCCAACATAGCGGCTGAAATCAGTTTAGTTTTTTTTTAGGTTCTGGATTGCGATAGGAGAGGGGGGATGACGTACCGACATATTGCCGAATCCCGATGACACCGATGAACAGGAACATAAGAACACCGGAGAATTGGTAGTTAAGTCTGTCCGCGAAGTCATCATCGAACCGGAGTCGTGAGGAGCCAATGCGTCCGAGTTTGCTGAGCTTCCATATGAAGGTGGCGTCCATAGTTCCGTGGCCTCCACCGCCTCCTATGTGGCCGCCGCCGCCTGCCCCGGAGGAGTGGTGGTGGTGGTGGTGACCGCCGCCGTATCCGCTCTCGTGCGAATCTGAACCGTAGAATGAAGAGTAGTAGTGACTGTTACCTTGATGATGACTGTATCCACCAGACCGACGGTAATCGCCTGCAATTCCACAAAAACCCAAATTCAAATTATACTTGACTTATTATTTCCAATTCTGGAACTACGCGCGCTCCAGAAACCGGCTCTGTTTTCTATCGCAGCAAATACAGTCTTATTAATCAACCAGAACGCTTACTATTTCTGAGTGTTTAAATATTTAAGGATCTGGGTATTGACCAGAATAATTAACCGAATCCGTAAAAGCCAAAATTTAATTACATTTTCCTTCAAACCTTCTTACTGTTGGCTGTATTAAAATTTAGAAAACGTTGTTAATACTAACAATTAAAAAAACTAAATTTTGGGGCTCTCCTCCAAAAGAAAACACAAATCCATTGGATTATATTGGCACGCTACCTAGATTATTATTCTGTTAGTCGTGGCTAGTGTATGTCACTTGTGTTAGCCCGCAACAGACATTGCTCTACGTAATTAGTTATTTATGAAATGGCAGGTACTACGAATCTTGCTTATTGACATTAACTTACTTTATGCATTGTGGTTGTGCCATTGAATCGATAACTAAATCTGTCATCTGCCTTTTTTCCCCAACTACCAACATGTTCTTCGATGCCACTGCCTTATAATGCTCAGGTTTTGACTGAATAATTCTCCGATCACACCTTCAAAGTAATCTCATGCAAATTGTTTTGAAGTGATCGAAAAAAAAATATGCTGGAGCCATGTCAGCAGAGTGGAGAGGATGCCCACTTCAGAGACTGATTTTAACATTTGTCATATTGGCAATGTGATGGATGGCATTGCCCAAGTGGGAAAGGTTGCTAAGGATTTGAAAAGCTCTCTTTCTCTGAATTATTTCTGTTGCATGGACACATTTTTCAAACACAGGCGTCAGAACGTAGCTCAAAATGATTGTTGCCATCACGATCCCCAAGTACTGGGTCGCAATTGCTTTGTCCGCAACTCTTGCGACACAGCGGTGATGGGTATGGCCAGACTATTAGGGGGTAACTCAACTAAATGTTATTTGGTTAATCTCAACTATAAGCGTTTCCAACGTCACCTATTGCATAAAAATTAATTTAAGTTGATAGTTAGCAGCACAAAACCTCATCCAATGAAGTTATTAGTCTATTTCTGGAGTATCTGGCCAAACATTTAGGCAGAGTAGGCAGACCAACATTTCCGCAAGATTTATAAATTGTGGACGCGTACTTGCACAAGTTGAACTTCCGGTTGAACACACCGTTGCAATCAAATCACTAAACCACTAAAGGGTTTAGAGTTAAAGTGTGCTAAAGAGTGAGTAAATTAAAGTGCTGGGCCCTAAGGTCTTGGATAGACAAGTTAGTCACGAAACACATGTACAAATCATGCAAATTCTTGAGCTGATTGTGTAACGTTTTCACCGATTCCCAATTTGAGTCTGCTATCGAACCTAGGTCCAGCAGGTTCTAGGTCCACTTCTCACCTACTGCAAACTTGTGATCCATCGGATTGTTAGAATTGTCCCAGATTCGCCGGTATTAGTTTTGACCTGCCAGATATTTCCGCATCGACGCGAATTCAATAACTGACTGCGCAAAAGGAGTTTATAGAAGGGCATGATTGTTTGTGAGGTTTTGATGACATCATTATTGGGTCCAAGTTCACTTCCACTTTAGCCAACACATCTCATTTACTGAGGTGTACTATCTATGGCAGCTCTTAGCTAAAAACATAGTTGCCGTGCTATTCCTGCTTGTGCTATTAGGAAGACGTTTTCCTTCGGGTTAAGATGGGCATGAAAAAAACTACTTACACTTCGATAAATGCGAGATTTAAAACAATCAAAGTGCAACAGCTGGTTTTCATGAAAAAAAGTTGAAGTTTGAGGATGATCTGAAAATGAAAACCGCACAATTTTTCTTTACACAAGAGAATGAACGTCAAATTATAGGGAGAGATATCCTTATCCGAAACTACTACTTGACATTCCGGTAAAGAAGTTGCAGGCTGGAAAGTAGAAAGAATACTTTTTTAAAGAACTTGGATTTTTGAAATCAAAACGAACAAAAACTATGAGTGGATACTATTATTTCTTGCAGTTTTTCCAATTTTAACTTATAGAAAAATCATGTTACTTTGCTTGAATTAACAGAAGTTCTTATTTCCTAGTTATTGCATGAAATTGCTAGTGATATTCCCAACTAGTACTCATAGGTATTGCTTGGCTTAACAGCTTATGTCGAAATTCCCCAAAAACCATGTACCCGAATGCCTTCATCATTATTAGCTGCAGAAATCGGAGCATTAGCACTTTATTTGCCTGTAGGAGAAGTGGATTCTGCTGGGGCGTTTCCATCCTTTCAAGTTTATTACGCAGGCAGGGCTTGCGGTGAATGCTGCGTATTCATGTTTATTTTAACAAAACACTCTAGAATTGCTTGACTAAGTCTTCATCTGCCTCCCTTCACTTATAATTACTAAACTGGACTAACACAAAGGCTCACTAGGAGCCTTGGTATATTTAGAGAAATATGTAATTACAAAATACTCCTGTATCCTAATGTACTTTACGATAAAAACGAAGAGCCTTGGTTGTAATCTTAAAGCGCGCGTCATGAGGCAGTAACTAGTTCCTATTCTGTCACCGTTAACGCTCACAAAAAATGTCTCTCGCAGAAAGCCGACTCATCACACAGTTGTCCAACATAAAGGGAGGCTAACCAAGGAAATTTCTATGAATTTTCAGCGCCGAAAGTAGCCAAGAGTCGGAGCATTAAAGTAAGGTGCGTCAGACAGCAGTGTCAGTTGTTCCAGGTTTTACAAAAAAGTTGCGAATTTTTGCACAAGGCAACACGAAATGTATCAAAGACAAGGCAAGTGCCGTACAAGTAACCTACCTCTGCAACGCCCCATATTAACTGCCTTTCAGCATCTGCCGTGGTCTTGTCTCTCTCGCTTGCTTTCTCCGACAACATGAGCATGGCCAATGAGAAACAATCGTTGTCCCCCTCGCTACACACACACACACACACCCTAACAATTTGTATGCATGTTTTTGCGCCTTCACTGATGTAACAGTTTGTTGGTCTGGGTCGTTTGGTACGTTCTGCAGATTCACCCCACCCAATGCGACACCCAGGGAAGGCCAGGCGGCGAGGCGACTGAAACGCCTACTTTTCTACCACGGAGCACGGCAACACTTCCTGATCTCTCATCGAACCACTTATTTATCCGTTCTGTGTCAACTTTTAACTAGATACCTCGATTCATTACTGTGTGTGTGAAACAAGACTGCATTGGCAAATGTTTCACTGCTTAAGGCTCACGAATGACCCTCGAGAAATCTAAGAGAGATTAAAATGGGTTTAATCCTGACAACAGCTTTTGCATGGCAACTACAGAAAGTACCAACAAGATGGTGAGCGTCTACCAGGCCATCTGATCTTATTAACGCGGTTGTTCCATTTTCGACTAGTCTAAATTGGCAACTAATGGACTTTTTAGAGCATACCTTCGATCAAAGGCACGTATATGTTAGCCCATATGTTTAGGTGTAAACCTATATATTCACATATTATTTTGATTTCCGAAGTTTAGTAAGGAAACATACCTGTGTATCCATCATCAACCTAATTTACAAAACTTGGGCCAGTATAAATGAAGACGCCTGTAGTGCGTTAAGTTATGTGATTTTGCGCTGACTGCCATATTCGACAAGGTATGAAACTACAATAAAATAATTGAATTTTCTGAAATATTCTCGTACCGTTATCAAGAATAATCTTTCTGTTTGGCAGGAAAGGAAAAGCATCATTGGATCTCTGGGCAGGTAGAAAGCAACTGCTTCCAGCCAGTTTGAAAACGTAGATTAACTTCGTAATGCGCGCACTTTAAAGCCGATGCCCATATTTCATATCAGCTCTTAAATGTTGGGCACACAGTTATAAATGCTGGATTACTTTAAGTGTCATGGGTTTCACGCAGTTTGGAAACAAAGTTAACTCAAAATGTGAAGATCCTTGGTTTACGGAATAATTAATAAAACAAAATGTCTTTTGAGTGGTCCAGAAATTTAGCGTCAAGACAGGTGTTATCATTCTATTGGTTCTAACATGGTCACGTCTGTGGTTGTAACTGCTGATAAAGAATTAAAGATGGTGTATTGCACGAAATCATGGGTCGCATAAAAACAACCGTGAAATTGGAAGCAACAGACATTAAATCATCACAAATTTCCTCCACATCCTGTCTGTACTACGTACAACTAAATGTATTAGAGGCAATCGTATTAACCTGCATTAACACACAACCATTCCTGGGCTTTTGAAGATTTTAACAAATTTTAAGCTTAGTCATTTAAGCATCATAAATCATTTATTCGTCAATTAAGTTCTGAAATGTTTTTAAAGGATAATTGGACAAACTTTGATGTTCCAATAGGATTTAATAAAGCCAGATTTACGTTTTCACGTACAATTTGAGACGTTTTTTGAGTGTCATTTTTCAGACAAGATGATAGCATACAAACGTTTTTTTACTAACTTTGTGCACACACCGCAGAATTCTCGTTGTTTATTTATGGTTTGCTAGCCTGGGGTCAGAGGACTGGTTTGGTTGTAAGGTTATTAAATATTCAGGTAATTATTGGTAGTTTTATGATGTGGTAAGGGCCATGTTTTTTTGGCACAAAACGTTCAAATAAATCAAAGCTTCTTATTTGCACGGGGTTAATCTTTACCTACAACACACAAAAGACTGCGTCTGATGACGAATTAAAATGACGGATTCTCGGCAAAATTAAACAACTGAGACCGCCATACAGACAGGGAATTTTTGAGATTTCACTAAAATAATTCTGCAGAACGAGCGTAAGTTTTGTGTTGGTGAAAAGGAATTCTCCAGCGATTTCCCCAAGCAGTTAAACGAAAGTAAATGAATCGCTAAAGAAGGAAACAAAGTTTGATTTGGTCACATGGACAATGGAGAGAGTGGGGTCACTTGAACGACTGCCTTTTGTGGCATACAAATTTCCGCCAGTAAAATTGAGCACACATTGGATTATCACAGGAAATAGCAGGTATTATTTGGCGATTAAGAAACAGAATGTGCTGAGAAATAATATTCTGCACTCTCTTCTCAAAGGTGACTTATAACAGTAATGCAATTTTGTCGTCAACTGACTTGCTTTGGACAATAATGACTGAAATTCTGCAAGTAGATTCAACAGCTGGATGGCCATTGACGTTTTTGCACAACGTTTGTTAATAGCATCGGAGTCGGTAATCTATTTCCGCAACGACTTCACATTTAACTTCATGTACCAGGGTGTCTAACTAGTATATCCGATTTATTACCTAACCAAAACCCTTGAAATGGATTCGTCAAGATAATTGTTAAACAGCAAACTGCTTTGGGAAACCTAGGTATGTCTTACAAGCAATTGCTACACATAGACTTTGGAGTTGGCACAACGTGGTTAAAGGCGAAAATGTAACCTCGTATAAGTTCCGGTTGATTGTCTCGTTCAAGTATAGAATTTGGTAAGGTATTAAAAAAAGACAAGATTAGAGAAAAACGCACCTAATCTTCAACAAACTGCCTTTAACTTCATAACATCAGGCCAGATTAAAAAAACCCGATACCAGTGGCAAAATTGAACAGATAATTGAGGAGAATTGAGTGTGTCGATGGTGAAATGTGGAACGTTCGCGCTTTCGTGACCAGAGAGGGAAATTCGACGACTTAGAGAACACGACATCAACACAGAGAAAGGTCCAAATTAGGGAAGAATTTAGCAGATTATGTGAAACATAAATTTTTGGCAAAAAAGCAAATAGGCGATTCTTCTCATCAATTAAAAAAAGGCGTGACTTTAATGCGAGGGTTTTTCGTGAGAGATTCGAGCGCTTTGGGTACTTGCAACGCCACCACTTTGCTTGTATATTTAAAACTCCCATACTACGTTTTTGTAAAACATTAGACAATCGAGATTACAGTTCCGGAATTCATAAGCGGGATTTGATGGGGAGTGAATCGACAGAGCCCGCAGATGATGAATTTCTTTTTAATTTTTCTTTTCTCTGCCTTTACTTTTACCAAATTAACTGGCCCGATTGCCTAATATTTTAACAATTGCCTTGACTACTTTTACATAATTGAGTGAACACGAGTTGGTGATTCACGAACTGAACGCAAGTGGCGTAGACAATGATCTTACTTCTCACGAAACAATTCCATCTACTAGTTCTTTGATTTCTTTCTAACCCGATGTCGTTAGTTCGTAAATTGCTGCATTTTCTGTGACTACCTGGTTACTACTGAAGCGGTGGTGTAGACATTTGTTTTAGAAAAACTACTGAAATTGATTTTTAAACCAGACTTACTTCCCCTCGTTATCTTATGGCTTAGAATTTTCACCTCCGTATTTTAATTCTATGGAACTAGATGGTATTTTACCTTGCAGGTTAGGCTGAGTGAGTTCAACCAAAGTTTTTCCGATTTAAGA